TATATATATATATATATATATATATATATATATATATATATATATATATATATATATATATATATATATATATATAATTACATTTAATTACATTTAATGAGATTTACAAAAAACTATTTATGAAAATTTGGAGGGGTGGGAAGGCTTTCTTCTTCTTTTCATTTTACGGTTTTGAAGATTCACCCAAAGAGATCAAGTTTCACCCCAAAGCCACTGAATCATGCCACATCAAGAGCAGTGTACACACAAACACAAGCTGCTAAAAGCTCAAATCAATCACACTATATTTGTCCACAGTTAAAACTTGCAGACACAGTGTTACTTAAGACTTGGCAAAACCACAATGAGCGCAAACCTCTGGGGTGCTGTACCCGTCCTGAGTGGAAATGAGCTAAAGAGAGAGAGAAAGAAAGAAAGACAGCAGACGAGGCAAGGTGAATGTATTGATGAGCACAGGAGGGTCGATAACATTATGCTGTTCTCTAACATCAGCGCTGAGCAGAGCAAAGTACAGCGGCACTATTCAGATAGAGACCAGCACTCAGACCGACATGAGCTAAAAAACCTTTAATGCTGACGGGTGAGGATGGACGCTAAAGTTTAAGACAACATGGACGCTCTTGATGCTATTCTTAAGGCAAGACGCTACAGGTATAACCTGCACTAGTCAAATTTGTGATATTTGGCTTTTCATTATGTGTTGTTTCAAACTAGTGGAAGAAAAACATCCAATATACACTCATAAATGTTTATTTTATTGCATTTTATCTATTTGCATTTGTAGATTTTAATTACAATAAATATCTTTAAATATCTTTCTACACTTCAGCAGCACTTACATACACCAAGCTTTTTTTTATCAACAGTTTTAATCAATATTCTGAATGTTTTCACTGATGGGTTTGTTCATATATCATTCACGTTGATTTATATAACATTTTATTCCTGAAACCATGGTGAAAATTAATATCTAATCCATCCATCCATCCATCTATCTATCAAATTATTACTGTATAAATAGGAAAATGTCTGTAATCTCACATTTTTCCTTTTTTATTTAAATGTACGTCTCAGCTAATGTCTGCTTGGAACGCTAGCCTTCTACAAACGCAGCAGATCTACACTCAAAGCGAAAGATGCGCCGGCACCACCATCGAAGTTTAACCTCCCACCAAACAAATGCAATACCTGGGCTCAAACACGACGTTGAAACCATGGTGAAAATTAATATCTAATCCATCCATCCATCCATCTATCAAATTATTACTGTATAAATAGGAAAACGTCTGTAATCTCACATTTTTCCTTTTTTATTTAAATGTACGTCTCAGCTAATGTCTGCTTGGAACGCTAGCCTTCTACAAACGCAGCAGATCTACACTCAAAGCGAAAGATGCGCCGGCACCACCATCGAAGTTTAACCTCCCACCAAACAAATGCAATACCTGGGCTCAAACACGACGCGACCGTTATATGTAACAAAGTTTCTGTGCGTCCCACTGACTACAACAGGGGCAACAGATGGATCATTGGCCATCGTTCATCTCGACGGTGACCAAATCGAGCAAGTTCAACAATTTAAATACCTGGGAACAATGGTACAAGAGAGGAAAGTAGCGACTACAGCAGAAGTCCACACTCTAATTGGTCAAGCAGCCGCAGTCTTTGCTTCCCACAAGTGGTGCCTGTGGAAGTGCTCCAACATCTCCACCAAAACCAAGATCCACCTCTTTCAGACCTTAATCCTGCCAGTTCTCCTCTATGGACAAGAAACTTGGACGTTACTTAAATTAGACCTGGCGAAACTTGAGGTCTTTCAAATGCGGCGCCTACTCCAGATTATTAGAGTTTCCCTTCGTGACCATCTTCGAAATGCGGATATTTGCTGTCGATGCGAATATCAGCCAACGATCGAGGAGCAGATTCAGAAATGGCGATTGCAATGGTTTGGTCACCAAAGCATTTTATAGGGCTGGGCGATATAGCTAAAAAATGTATCAATGATATAATGTTTCATATCGTTCAGTATCGATAATTATTGAAAATTTTTATAACCTTTTTTAAAACAAAGAGCATTAGAATTTTTTATTTATTTAACCACTGTATTTTTCAATTAACCCAATTTATTGTGACTAAAAACAACAAATATTTTTTGTTTTAACAATCAACAATGATATAATGTTTCATATCGTTCAGTATCGATAATTATTGAACATTTTTATAACCTTTTTTAAAACAAAGAGCATTAGAATTTTTTTTTTATTTAACCACTGTATTTTTCAATTAACCCAATTTATTGTGACTAAAAACAACAAATATTTTTTGTTTTAACAATCAAACACAAAATAAAAATTAAACAAATATCAAATTTTTTATGTTTTATATGCAGATTAAATAGGTTTTATTAAATTAAAAACATATGAGACGCAGTGAAAAGGAATAAACCTCCACAAATTTGTGACGCGTTTTCTAAAAGTTTAAACTGTTTTGACTTTACATGGCTACATCTCTTGTGTGAGACGCGAGTGCAGCAGTCATATTTGTGTATATATATAATATGCGTTCTGTGTGAATGGCTTGGTTTCGGTTTTAACCTAATCAAGATCTTCTCCGCATTTAGCTTCTATATTTCTCTAATATTTTGAATGAATAACGCAGCAACTGCGCGTCTCGTGGACTAGACCAGTGGTTCCCAACCCTGGTCCTGGAGGCACCCCAACACTGCACGTTTTGACTTACAAATGAGGACAACAGAAGCAATCAATTGTAGTATTAAAACAACTAAAAACAGAACCAAAACTTTATAAATACTACTTGTACACATTTTTAAAATAAAGACATTAAATAAAAATGACAAATTCATACAACAAAATTTCAAAACTTAACATAAAATGAAAAACAAAAAATAAAGCTAAAAACAATTCAAAATATTAAAGAACAAAAGGTATGAGTATAATAATGATTCTAACATAACACTAAGCCAAACACCAAAAAATCAACTACATATGTGTGTATGTACAACCACACACACATACACGTATACTGTATGTACATACACATTTATAAATTCAATATATATATTATTTCATTTCCATTTAGTTTGTTGAAATATTAAAATAACTCAAATTAAATAAAACTAAAACTTAAGAAAAGACCTATACAGACATAATAAATTCAGACATAATGTAACTAAAATTAAAATAAATAACAAATACAAATAATACAAATCAAATGACAGTAGTTTATCAGTAATCCTAAAAAATAACATTGCCAAACACACATGCTAAAAAACAACTTACTTACACATAGTAAGAAATGGTTATAAAAACTGAAACAGAAGCAATAAAAAGTGATTACTTATCCTTTGGTGGAGTCACACGGTAGAGTCGATGGTCTTTACACTCTTCGGTCTTACCATGAGGAGGCCTTCACGCGACGGTCGCGGTAAACTAAGCTTTTTTATACCAGTCTAACAAAATACTAAATTAATTCAGCTGGACACACTTTCCTTATTTTCTCCGCAACAAATGGCCAAGCAAGCGCAGACACCGACAAGATACGCGATACAGAAAGAGACCAAACGCGATATCAGCACGTCTCCACACAGTAAACAAAACAAGTGGTCTATAAATAGGTCTAAAGGAAATTTTTGTCTTGTCTCCCGAGGCCATAGGAGGGCGCAATGAGCAAAATAATGCAGCGCATTTAAATTGTCAACGCAAGGAAGTAACTCTATTTAAAAAAACGTGCATTACGTCTAAATTAACTCAGAAAAATCAAATATAATTTCGTAAATTACATAAACAATTATGAACAAAACAGCACCATGTATTTATGCATTGCTTAATACAAAGAGCCGAATCGCCATTCACACAGATTGCATTTAAAAACATATGAGACACAGTGAAAAGGAATAAACCTCCACAAATTTGTGACGCGTTTTCTAAAAGTTTAAACTGTTTTGACTTTACATGGCTACATCTCTTGTGTGAGACGCGAGTGCAGCAGTCATATTTGTGTATATATATAATATGCGTTCTGTGTGAATGGCTTGGTTTCGGTTTTAACCTAATCAAGATCTTCTCCGCATTTAGCTTCTATATTTCTCTAATATTTTGAATGAATAACGCAGCAACTGCGCGTCTCGTGGACTAGACCAGTGGTTCCCAACCCTGGTCCTGGAGGCACCCCAACACTGCACGTTTTGCATGTCTCCTTAATCAAACACACCTGATTCAGGTCATCAGCTGATTAGTAGAGACTCCAAGACCTGAAATTGGTGCGTCAGAGAAAGGAGACATGCAAAATGTGCAGTGATGGGGTGCCTCCAGGACCAGGGTTGGGAACCACTGGGCTAGACTAACAAAACATTCAAATGCAACAACGTCACTTACATCATTATCACCGCATCTCGCGCGCCACTGATGACGCTCCCTGACGCACTCCTAACATTTAAATGCAAATGTTTATTTTAAAATTAGACTAATATTCATTCTTTATTCACAATCTCCTCATCACAGGCAGGCACAGCACTCATTTCAGCATGTGTTCGTGTTTGTGTGTGCGGTCTGCGTCACTCATAGCACGTGCCTATATCATGCGCTATATCGAACATTTTTTCTATCGTTATCGAAGAAGGTGTACCGTCGATAAATATCGATACTGTTTTATCACCCAGGCCTAGCATTTTACCACACAAGCAGGTTACCATACAAACTCCAAAATCGACCTGTCCAGTGGAAAGTCCAACGAACAGCGCCAAAGAAAATATGGATGAAACAGGTTGACGAGGATTTGAGAAAACAATGTCTCAACCTCGATGAGGCCAGGTCCATGGCCATGAAACCCCATGGATGGAAACGTCTTGTACATGAAATCCGGCAACCATTAGCACCCACAGCAGCGTATGGTTTGAGGAAACGATCCAAACCAAGCGCCAGCTAGAGATCAAAGAAGAAGACAACAGGGGTGCTATTGATCTAGTGCGTCATTGTTGCCGCTGTGGTCGCGCTTTGCGTTTGAAGTGTTGAAAAGATGGCACGAGATAAAGCTGTTTTTGATGTAACTTTTCAAACATGAATATAAGATAAGATATATGCTGCATTCACGCCATGTCGTAATTAATGTAATTTCGAGATGACAACACGTGACGTTCAACTTGGAGCTGTTCACACCCTTAGACTCTGAAATATCGCACTATCAATGTCTAAACACAGCGCCTAATGAATCTGAGGTGCTCAGGTGGTACAAGCTGTAGCTCTCAGAAAACTCCTAGTTCATAAGTTGTAATTACGACTTCTACGAGGACATGACATTTTAAAAAAAAAGTTGGTATCTCGTAATCACGGTAATTACGATATGGCGTGAACGCACCTTAAGTCATTTAATGAACTGGAACAGCCAACTGATAGCAGTTTTCTTCTTGCAGATTCCTATTGGCTGCTCTTGTCACATCCTAAACCCTTTACTGAATGTTTTTGAAAGTTTTATGATTGTAAAAAACTGACTTGATATTGAATGGGGAAAAAAAATTATATGAACTGTTTTTGTCCTATATATAAAACAGGTATTAGAATGCATTTTTATTATTAAAATGAAAAACCTTCAATAGGTTGACTGACCCAGCACAATGTCAAAAAGCAACCCAGCAAATGGGTTACTGTATAAAACCCAACAAGCTGGGTTAAAATAACCCAGCATGTGTTCTGTCCAATATTTACCCAGCACTGGGTTGCCAAATAACCCAGAAATGGTTGTTTTAACCCAGCATTTTTGTATACACTCTACAAACTGCTGGGTTAAATACAACCCAAAGCTGGGTAAAATATGGATAAAACCAACGATTGGGTTGTTTTGACCCAGCGGTTGGGTTACTGCCCAGAAGGTTGGGTTAAACATTTAACCCAACTGTTGGTTGAAAACAACCCAATCGCTGGGTTTGTCCATATTTTACCCAACGCCGAGTTGTATTTAACCCAGCATTTTTAGAGTGTAAAGGGGTTTTGGATTTCTCTTTTTATCACTAAATAAATCAGAAAATACTGTCAACAGGCAGAAATAAAATTCACCATGTTTTAGGAATAAAATCAGTGCAAATGATATATAAACAAACCCCTCAGAAAAAACCCTTCAAATTATGAGTGCTGCTGAAGCGGAGATAAAAACTTCACTTGAATATATGTATTAAAACTAAAATCTACAGACCCAAATAGATAAAGTGCAATAAAATAAACACTTAAAAGTTTATTTTGAATGTTTTTGTTCCACTAGTCTATGACCTCATTACATGCAAATTCGGACTTATATTGTGGTCTCTAAACTTTACTGGATTAAGATAAAGTTTAGCATTGTGAGACATTTTCTTCATTTAAGCTTTAAAAATGCTCTTTGTTCCCCCACATTTCTTTCCTCAGTTTTCTGATGCGCTTTCCACCAGAGCAGCCGCTTCCCGATCGACGTGTGAACGAAGCGGTTTCCAGCGGTCTCATTTTCCCCGTTAATGTCCTCTTCCTCACTCTCCTGCCGGAGAAAAATCAATAAACACACAAACATATTCAGTGAGTAGCGTGAATGAAATTAAAACATGTATCGTGGAGCAGCTTACGAATGAAAACTCTGAAGATGATAAACACGCTTAATGGAGTCATGAGATGAAAACAACAACAATGAACTAATCATTTCATCGGATGAAGGCGTAACAGCGTTTATGATTCATCATCGATCTCTCTGTGAAGTCACGTCACCGGTTATTCTCATCACTTAGATTAACGCCAACAACAAAATCGTGAAATCATGCTGTGATCAAACCTAGAGGCATGTGAATCAATAAGCTCATACATGTGAGTTATTGACCGCTCTATAAAGCTGTGAAGCGCATGACAGCATGTGGACAGATGGGGAAAGGTGACAGAGATCAGACCAACATTGTACATTGCTATGTGCCTATCATATACATCTTCATATCAGTGTTATTTAAGTATCATTCATATACTATTATATATCCATGATTTCTTTGTTAATATTAATATTTAGTTTTCACTTTAATTTAAGTGTAAGTTTTATGGGGTTTTCTTGTGAGTTATTGTCCTTTTTATTCCTTTTTAGTTTTTTAAAAGTCTACATAGTTTATACATTTTTATTTTAAAAACGGTTTATTTAACAAACTGTAAAAAACATTTTTCATATTTTATTTTATTTACATTTTATATAAAGTTAACATTTATTTTTATCTAAAGTAACAAAAATCATTTTAGTTTTAGTTTAATAATAGTTTAAGTAAAGCATATTATAGACACAGTTGACTAATATTAATTAAGGAATATTAACATTTATTTATTAAGAAATATTGCATTTTTCTTTATTTTAATCAAAATTGATCTTGCTTTAACTAAAAATGCTTTTTTTAGACTAAATGTTAATTGGTCAATAAATCATTATATATGTTTGTCCCTCTGTCCTCAATATTTTGTTTGCCTTTTGTAAAAATCCCTAAATTAATTTCTTTGTGTTAAAATGCATGAAAAATGCATTAAATTGAGACAAGCTTGACATCAATGATAAAAAAACTGTGTTTTTGTGTAAAATACAGAAAAATAACTTGTTTTCAAAGTAAATTTATTTTTAAACCATTTTTTCTCCACTTTAATTTTTTGTATCCATTCATCAAATTTAGTGAAGTTTATGCTTAAAAACAAGAAAAATCTTTTTGCCATTGGAATTAATTTAAAATATATTGCTTAGTGGATATTAGGATATTTTCAACTGGAAAATCTCATTAAAATAATATTTTTTTGGCAGCGTGTACATTCAAATAATACTTAAAATACACCATAAAATATACTTTTTCCACTTCAAGTGGCATTAGGCTCACCATGATCATGGGATCTTGCAGCCACAGACGGATCAAGGTGGCCAGTGTGTAGTACAGGACCAAGAGCATGATGGGATTGACAAAATGGTGCCAGTTCAGGCCACTGTTGACGGCAAGCTTCCAGGTTGAGGAGCAGTCGGTTCGAACGATGGAGGAGATGCCAAACAAACTGTGGAGAAAGAAAGTAAACCGGGTCATTTTGCTTTAATGATATCATTTTTATCCTGTTCCCTACGGTTGCTGTGACTGGGACAGAAATGATCACATGACCACAGCCCATGTGACGGGAAGAAGAGGAAGTGATGTGGAAAGCACTGGCTGTCAACACTGTCACTCAACAGTCATGCAGATCAAGGCGACGACTCTTTCATCAACTACAATTAGGCCACAGTTTTTTCCAACCAGATCCCCGTTAACACCACAACAGCGGCTATTTCTACTGTTCACGCCAAAACTGCTTTCACAAAGAAAAAATGAGAAAGACCAGCACAAAAGAGTGGGATTGTGGTACTGAATTTCTATTTATGAATCCAAGGGAAAGAAGTAAACAGGTTGATATACTGCAAAATAAATAAATCAGTATTTTTATCTAAACGTTCTTAAATCAAGATTCATTTAACATTAAATAAAAAAATGTAGATGCATTAAATAAAATTGAGAAAAAATCAAGATACATTTATTTGGGAGGCAAAATGACTTTGTTGTTGTATGTCTTGTTTTCTGGAAAAATAAGTGAGTTTTGCTTAAAACAAGAAAAATGTCTGCCAATAGGATCAGAAAAATCAACAATTTAAAGGAAAAACAAGATTATTTTTCTTTCACCGTGTCTTTTCTTACTCACTTAATTTTGATGAATCTTTCAGGAAACAAGTCTTAATATCTTGTTTAACCTCGCTCTTGATTTAAGAATGTAGATATTTGTACTGGAAAACAAGACAACATACTGAGGAAGAGCTTCACTTTTTGCAGTGTAAGTAAGTGTTAGTTTGAGTTGATGAGTTTATCTGACCATAATGCTCTTCTAACTTGAGTTTCAGTCGACTTAATTAACCTTGAGATCACAACCGCAAACACAATGAAAGGCAAACCTTTCAACACTGAATTCATTTGAAATCACTCAAGAGTAACAAATCAGGAACACTCCAGACTTTCTTTCTTCTGTGAAAAGTCAGTAAATAATGATTGATTTGTGGGTGAATTACTCCGCTAACGTTCCTCATATTTATAAAACCATCTAGATTTTACATGATTAGTTTGTTTTCTATTGATCTGATTATTTCACATTTTAAAAAATGGTGTAGAAACAATTTTTCACTCGGAAATTGCTAGGAAATTTCAGTTTACGACAGCAAGTGAACAATTAATTAAACATGACATTTTGAAATAGAAAGAATTAAATATCATTTGCACTTATATATTGTTGATCTTTTATTAGTTTTGACTGCTTTTATTGTCCTCATTTGTAAGTCGCTTTGGATAAGTAAAAGCGTATGTAATGTAAATGTATTCTCATTCTCATTCATTATTTACAGCACACGGCAGGTGCAGATTAATATCCATATGATGACATTAAACATATGACTTATTTTATGAGTATTACCGGCACTGTTGCACAAACTTGCATTCAGAGTCCACTGAATTATAAATAATTAATATAGAGTAGATTTGCATAAAGCATTCCAATGATTTGTATCAAAAAGACCTAATGTTATTTTGATGGTGCTGAGTTCAAAAATATCAAAAATCAAAATATCACGCTTAATGCATAAAAGTAACAAAGTCAGTGAAAAGTTTTGTTTTAATGACAAAAAAGAAGTATACAAAATGTATAATTTATCTTACAAACTGCAAAGGAGTGAAAAAATATGTCCAAAAGCCCATTTATATATATATATGTGTGGGTGTGTGTGTAGGGATGCACGATATTGGATTTTTGCCGATATCCGATATTTTTCATCTTATTTTGGCCGATATCTGATGCCGATATATTTAGTTTCTCTCTCCTGTGATTATAAACAAGTTATTTTTAATTTTGCTTAGTTTAAAAAACAACAACTACTTGTTAGAATTAAATAAACAATAATTAAGTTATTTTATAATTTGAAAATAACTATAAATCAGTCATTGTTTTTTTTTTCAGACAGATGCAGTGATAACCTTAACATTTTATTTGAAGATTTAGATTCTAAAGCAAAAGTACGGAGCCCCGCACATGACATGCAAGAAAAAAGAAATAAATTGTGCACACGATTTACTAATTTGTTCCCTCGATGTACTAAAATGTGCACACGATTACTATTTCGTTCCCTCGATTTGCTAAATTGTGCACACAATTTTTTACTAATTCGTTCTTTCGATTTATAAATTGTGTGCTCGACTTAGCAAATCGAGGTAACGAAATAGTAAATCGTGCGCACAATTTATAAATCGAGGGAACGAAATGGAAAATCGTGCACACGATTTAGCCTATTTTTTTGTCTGCATGCCATGTGCGGGGCTCTGTACAAAAGAATTCAGAAAATCTTTTAGAGCTCCTTGTATTTAAGTTTACAATTTAAATTTAATCCGTAAAAAAAAAAAAAAAAATAATAATTATAT